TAGCAACCTTTCTGTAGCTGCAGCTGACCAATCAACTCAGGACAGGTTCCCCAGTCTAGATGTGCGCCAATCCTGAGACGGATACTATGCAACTAGCAGGCTCCCGGATACCTCCTCCCATTGTTCTACCCCCACTATTTGCCTGCCCACTGCTGTTCAGAGTCCCTTCTACTCCATCTACTGTGTCAGACAGACAGAGGACCTGAGTTAACTGGTAAATTAAAAAGACTTTGCTTTACATTGGATCTGGTCTCTTGGTGGTTTTGGGGGGGGGGGGTTGAAAGTCTGGGTGCAACACCAGCTCAAATAAATCATGAATGATTATGTGCCTGATCTCAGCAATGTGAATGTTAAAGCAATGATCCTAAACCTAAGAAAACTCTGTGATTTCCTCTCAGATTAAAAATAATAATAATAATAATAATGCTAATTGATAACTCACAGCTAGACATTAGGCATGGTATTTTCCACTCCTTCCTTTCCTTTATTTTTATGTACACAGACCTTCCCATAGCCCAGGAACTCTCATCCTCCCCTATTGGGCTCCTCAGAGACAAAACAAGAACCTAGGATGAGGTATGGTTTCTTCTTACCTTGGTGTGTTTTGGGGGAACAATCATAACAGTTATTGTCCCTTCTGCTGCATAGACTGTACAGTTCGCAAAAAGACTGACTTGCTCAGGTGTGGGTATGTGACAGAAATGTCACCAAGAGTCCTGTGTTAGTCATCTGCTTCTTGTTGTTTACCTCATCCGATTTCACAGAAGACCATCTGTGAGGTTTCAATCATAATACTCTTATTTGTAAGACACTATTCTCTCCCTACTTCTTAAATGCTAATGATATGGACTCAGCCCCAAAGCCCATCAACTAGTGAATAGGTAAGGAATTAATGGCATATATACAGAATCAAATAACATTTGGCAGTGATGAAGAGAGGAATCCTCTCGTTTATGGAAAAAATGTGTGTGGACTATGGAAGTGTCAAGTCAATAAAATAAGGAAGACACAAGAACATTGTATTGTATGTTCTCACACGTATAGAAACAAATAAACTAACAGACCCAATGAGAAGAAATCACTGGCCAGCTCAGTGCCTTTAGGACCAGGTGGTTGGAGATGGACACACACATACTTACCAGCTCAGTGCCATTAGGACCAGGTGGTTGGAGATGGACACACACATACTTACCAGCTCAGTGCCATTAGGACCAGGTGGTTGGAGATGGACACACATACCTACCCAGGGCCTTTGCCCTAGATGGGGAGAAGAAACCATAGGCCTGCTTGCACCATTAGGACTGGGTGGTAGGGTGCCATGATGGTAAGAAAAATATATAGTAGGGTATTAGAAAGGGAGGGAGAGAGAGACAAAATGGTTCATGTCTTGTGGAGAGAGACAGATTTGAAGAAGCAAAGGTAGTAATGAATGGATGCGGGAAGCCTGCTTGCCACCCTGGGTCATGGTGAGGTTCATGGTGAGGCCCTTGGTCTGCTTCCAAGGGCCATGTCTGAGTCTGTGAAGGCAGTTTAAAGGAGTCCACAATTACCCAGATAAAGAATTCACAGGCATTTATTTGGGAACACTCACACAATGATGTTAATAACCCCTGCAGTCTTCCTGTTCCTGTATATGTAGCCTCTGCCCTTCAGGATGCTCCAGCCAGCACTTTCTCTTTCTTATAAGAGATCACATCTGCACATCTGAAGTCACACCTTAGAGAGTGGCCACCACCCCAAGTCCACTGACAGAACCAGATATCACTACAGATTGGTGGACCTGCTACAGCCAAGCCCAGTGTTGAGGTTCATAGCTCCTATTACCCAAAGGCCATGCTTCTGCCCAGTGTCTGTGCTGCCACCAGGGGGCATATGTAAGTCCAGGGACCACACTTCGGCTGGCTCCATGCCAATCTAAGAGGCCTGCACTGCCACCTAGAGCCATGATGACATCTGGATTCAAGCTGCTGCTGATAGAATCCATAGACCTGCCAGACCTGCCACAGCTAGGGTCTATGCTCCAAATAGTTGACCCACCCTTCATCCGCCCTGTGATAATGGAAGGGAATTACCCTGGCAATGGAGATCTGGCTCTGGCCGGAACAGATTTGCCCTCTCTCCCTGCTCCTGCTGGCACCACCTCTCATCAGGAGTGTGGGGAGAGATGATTCTGCACCTCACACTGAAGGGGATGGCCCCTGCAGCCCAGTCAGAACAACTCAGCTACCACCCAGACACATATCCAGGGCTTTGAGTTTGCCCACACCAACACGTACCCCATCTATGACCTGCTGGATTACATGAAGGTACCCATCTCAGGATCTCCATGATTAGGGACAACAGCAGGATATCAGAGGGGAGTTTCAGTGAGGGTTCAGTACTGATGGTGTGCCAGGAGCCAAATACCTGTTACCAACAAGACATTACACAATGAACATTTGCAAGTAAAGTTCTTTGGAAAAGAGTATACTGCATGATACACAGCAGCTCCCAGTGTCACTAAGATGAATGAAGAGGCGTTGGAGAAGCAGGAAAGGGGGAGGAGAGAAGTGGTTTTTTGGTTTGTTTGTTTTTTCTTTGTTTTGGTTTTATTTATTTTTTTAGTTTAGTTTTGTTTAATTACCATTCTTATTTGTATTTTTATCCTATTTTTATCTTTTTATTTTTCTTTTGGAGGGACACTACAAAGGCGAAAGGCAGACATTGACGGACCTGGTGATTGGTGGGATTGGGGTGCATGATGTAGAATTCCCAAAGAATAAAAATAATTGTGTTTCAAAACAGCCCCAATGATATGTAAGTACGATAAAACAATTGGAGACTGGGAAGGAAGAGGCTGGGAGAAAAAAAGAGTGTGGAAGATGAGTGGATTGATACTGTCCTAGTTCTGTTTCTGTTGCTGTGATAAATATCATTACCAAAATCAACTTGAGGAAGGAAGAGTTTATTTTAATGTACAGTTGTAGTACATCATGAAGTTAAGTCAAGGCAGGAAATGGAAGCAGAAATTGAGGCACGGGCTATGGAGGAATGCTGATTTCTGACTTATTCTCCATGGCTTAGACTGCTTTTTATACCATCCAAGACTATCTGGCCAAGGGTGGAACTGCCACAGTGAGATTAGACCTTCTATATCAATTGTCAATCAAGAAAATGCTCCACAGACTTGCATATAAAACAATCAGTCCCCCCCCCAACTCTCCATCTCTTCCCCCTTCACCATCTCTTTCCATTTCCTACATTATATGGGAAGAATACAATAGACTTTATCCTAGACTAAGGTTGAATAAATGCTCTGTACAATACAATCCTAGGTTTACTGTTAACTCCACTTCCAGTATTTGACTATGAATGGCTTGAAGTTAAGAATATTATTTTCTTAACGCTGATGATCCCAGAATCAAGTATCCTTCCTGATACCATGTATTGCTAAATATTAAATGTTCATTCAAATTCATTTTAATCGACATTTTTATCTTGATGTCATTTCTTTTGGTTTTGTGGATAGTATTTACAATAGAAAAAGAAATGGGAGTGTTCCCTTTCTTCACATCCTCTCCAGCAAAAACTGTCATTGGTGTTTGAGATTCCTTATCAGAAGGAGCCCTTATAGGTTTAAAAAGAAATCTGGCACTAGGGAAATGTCCAGAGATCCACAAGGATGACCCAAACTAACAATCTAAGCAATAGTGGGGAGGCTGCCTTAAATGCCCTTTCCCCTTAATGAGACTGATGACTACCTTATATGCCATCCTAGAGCCTTCATCCAATAGTTGATGGAAGCAGAAGCAAAGATCCACAGCTAAGCTCTGAACAGAACTCCTGAGCAAAGAGGTCAAGACCATGCTGAGGAAACCCACAGAAACAGCTGACATGAACAAAAGGGGAGCTCACAGACATCAGTTTGACATCTGGGGAACCACCTTGAGACTGAACCAGGTCCCCTGAACATGTGTGTCAGTTAGGAAGCCTGGGCAGTCTATGGAGCCTCTAGCAATGGAACCAGTATTTATCCCTAGTGCACAAATGGACTTTGGTAGCCCATTCCCAATGGAGGGATACTCTCTCAACCTGGACAGGGGAGGGCCTAGGCCCTGCTCCATATAATGTAACAGATTTTGATGATTCCCCCATGGGAAGGCCTCACCCTCCCTGAGGAGTGGATGGGGTGGTGGGATGGAGGCGTCGGTGGGAGACATGGGAGGAAAGGAGGAAGAGGAACTGGGATTGATATGTAAAATAAGATTGTTTCTAATTTAAATAAAAATTTATACAAAAAAAAAGAAATAGGAGAAATATGCATGAGCAGGAGAACAAATACGGGCACGAACACTGGAGAAACGTTAAAATATACACTTGTTCCTTTATATTTTGAAATAAGAATACAAGATAGGCCAATTCTTTCTTAGTAAACAATGAGTATTCTTGGATAGCTTTTCTGGAGCAACTTTTTGGTTGTGTTTTGTGAAGAATAAAGAGATTTTTTATCTTGACGTGCCGACCATTAGTGATATGCTGTATGCTACAAAGCAAAAACAAAACCACACAAATGAAATATGCAATTACATATAGACTTTATTTGGAGGCTGACAGCATTATGTTCTTTGAGATTTTGTAGTACTTAGGAATAAAATAGATACAGCAAAGTCACATGCAACATACATAGATTGAAATCACAGGAATTGACCTGTACCTCCTGCAATCAAGTGCAAAGGATAAGGAGAAATGTTGCCCCTTTGCCCCACCATGAGCCTCTGAAACATTCTGCTAGTTTTTTTGAGAAATGTCTATGGCTCTTTGACCAGTACATAAAATTGGAAAGTGCAGGTATGAACTTTGGTTGAAACAAAATCAAGAGCATGTTACTGAACCCAGCCATTCAACACATTTTTCACAGTGGCTGAAAAACCAACATACATTTAAAGATATTTAAGCTTTGCTGTCATGCAATGGCTGCCTTTCCTAAATTATACTAAAGACTGATCCTCTACTACATAATTTCTACTTAATTATTAAGAAGTCAGAACTTTCCCATATTCAGGGTTACAAAGTGACTCTGACGATACACTGCATTTTTTCTTTGAGTCCCGGGACAGGAAAATCACATTCTAGAAAAAAAGAAAATACATCACCGTTCAGACTTTCCTCAAATTTAACTGAATACATGTACATCTGTCTTTATCTATAGATAAATAGGTACAGATATAAATATAATTTCCTTTGAAATTTTACATGGATGCCATCTCTATTCAAAGATGGTGGTGCTGAGAGGAACATCAGGGAGTCACTCCTAGAGAAAGTGTCCCTGATTCCAGAGAGGCAACTAAACTCCAGCATTCTGAGCACAGGCAAATGCAGTGTGATGCCAAGAGAGAAATTTAACTTCCCCACACTACTTACTGTTTATTTGTGAAAGAAAGGACCAAGCTATATGTGATGTACAGCCATTACTAGTCCAGGTATACCTCATCATCTATACATCTGTCTCCTCTCTCCATTATCCACTGAGGTTCCCTCACTGTGAAAACCACATGATGTACACTTCAAAGTAGCTCACTATTCTACCAGATATTCATAGTGGCATTAATTAATATATCCCAGGGGAAACACCAGACAAGATTCCGAGAGGCCTCTAGCATACTCACCCCAGAGAAGTCAGAGTGACCCTGGTTCCACCACACAATGGCAGTGATCACCGCCAGGCCAAGCTCCAACACAGTGCAGATCAACATCAGTGAAAATGTCCCCTAAATTCAGGAGAGGAGAGGTTGGAGTGACTGAGTCAGCTGAAGTGCCCAAATGCCTTGGTGGGAAGTGACTATAGAGAGGAAACCATCTCCACTATCAGAGGGCAAAAAAGAACACCAACAACAAGGGAAAGGGATCCTCCCACACCTAGACTTACATGGATGTCTGGTCCCTTCATTCCTTCAGGGGAAATGGGTGAAAAATAAACTAACTCAACAAAGCCATTTCTGTCACTGATCTCACCAGTCTTGGGCAGGGATCCCTGACCACACTGTTCACTCAGTGAGGGAGCAGAGAAGTGACTGGCAGGACGGTGTCAACAGCTCCTGCTCTTGGCTCTCTTAGAGTGAGGCTGGACAAGTCTCTGCTTCTCTGGCTTCTCACGTGTGTGTAATAATTTTTCCTCCACACAGTCTTGTGAGGGTTAGTGAGGTTCTGACCAAGCTAGCTCTCTGTAAAAGTCAGCATCAATAGAAACTTCTTCCTTGGGATGTGTTTCTTTTGCCTGTGTGTGTGTGTGCGTGTGTGCATGCGTGTGTGCGTGCGTGCGTGTGTGTGTGTGTGTGTGTGTGTGTGTGTGTGTGTGTGTGTGTGTGTATGATGGTCAAATGCAGAGTGACAATATAGTTTCTACAGTCTTTAACATCACAAAGCAACTGGAATTAGGGCTTCGGTTGAGAACACAGAGCCCAGGACTTCTGTCCTGATGTGATATTCATGAAGGCTGCTTGATAGGAAGGAAGACAAATGTGGCGCTATAAACTCTTTATTTGTCTTCCCACAGGTAGGGAGGAGATGGAGCATGCCTCCATTATCTAGGCACTGTCCCAGCAAGCACACTCAGCCACTCTCAGGCTTACAATGTGAAACTATGCCATCATGTCCTCGTACTTTGTAGTCCACACAGATTCCTCCTCAATGCTTCAGGCTTCTAAAGTCAGGCTTAGTTATTCCTGATGGTAATGTACTCCCTTGTTCTGCATTCAATCTGCACATACCCTTTCTCATTGTGGTTTCTTAACTAAGGAAGACACCTTGAGCCCAGCTCCATAAGGAGCTGAGAAAGCCTGAGGAGTTTGACCATACCTGACTGTCTGGCTTATCAGACTTTTATCACAACAGGACAATGAGTGTCCTTCTAAATATGATGGCATTTCCTCACATCAGTGTCAGTGAGTCGTCTCTGATTCTTTGTATTTCTTTTCTCCTCATTTAATAAATCTCAACTTTTTGAACTACATTGGAAGTAGCAGTGAGGTCACCTCCACAAAGGCTAGGTGCTTCTTGTTAGCATAGTTACTGGAGGGAGTAGAAGCCCTGACATGTCTTCCTCCACCCTCCCAATCCTTGTATTTCCCATACTACATCTCTCGGTTGATTGGCTGAGGTTTGCTCACCTCACTCCATTGCCTTTACTATGCCCATGCACCAGTTTTCGTCATTGGCATCTCCCGATCACCTGCTTTTTTTTCTGGTATGTATGCCTGTCTTCATTCAACACTCCATGAATCAAGACTTTTCGTTTGACAACCTCATCTTTTATACCTCTAAAATTGCAGTATCTTCTATAATTCTTAAGAAATGAAAAAAAATGTGGTCTTTATAGTTTTATCATCTACTTAATTTGGTAATTTCACCTAACCTTTTGCTATTACTACATGATTCCTTTGTGTAGCATTTCAATAATATGCTCATTCTTGTCTCTGTCTTCCATGGCTCTAGCTTTATCCTAAATGCACAAACAAGAATTAAAATAAAAAGCAAAATGCATATGAAAATGCCATAATGAAACTAACTTCTTTGTATCTTTGTTTTAAAACTAATATTTTCTTTATCCATTCTTCAGTTGAGGGGCATCTAGATTGCTTCCAGGTTCCTGCTATTACACATAATGCTGCTATGAAGATAGTTAAACAGATGTCTTTGTTGCATGGATGTGGATCACTTGGGTATATGTCTAAGAGTGGAATTGCCAGTTAAAACAGAACCAAGAGAAAATGAATAGAGAGTTTCCAATCTGGGAGCAGAAGAAACCAGCTGTCAAAAATCTTTAAAAACTGGAACAAGCATATTGAAATACTTACAGTCAGAGTAGCTTTGACCTTGAAGCAGTTCTTGTCGGATAGATTTGGGCGAAGGTAATGATAATATGATGTGGTTGTGGCTGGCTGTGGTATTGCCATCAATTTACACTGCTGCAAGGCAGAGTCTAAAGAAGCCAGGTTGGTGGACAGGATAATGATGCCTGTGAGAGCAAAAAGAGCACTCAAGATGCTCAGGGCTAGGCTTCTGTGAACCTAGAACGACAACACACATCTCATATGCCTCTTTTTCAATGCATGACAATATTTCTAACTGCTTGTCTCCTACAGGATCTAAAAATACAATCATTCTTTTCTCTATGCCCTCTAAGTATCTACAAACATGTGAGCCCAGAAGGCAAACTGTGATTAGATAAATAGAATCCCATTCCAGACAGCACTTCAGAGACAGAAAAATAAAATAGTCTTCCTAGTATCTTCATTTACAACCACAAGTAGACTCTAAAGAAGTAAGCCTGAAAATTCCCCAAAGGAATGTAGATAAAGGTGGAAGTGTAGATGCTTTATCTCTCAACATCTTCAGTGATATAATTTGAATCTGACATGCCACCAAAGCTCATGTAGTGATGACCTAATTTCATTAGTGATAGTATGAGCCTTTAGCTAGCCTGGTTGAAGGTTTGCCATACTGTGTTTCCCTACATGCTTCTGCCTCTCTGCTGGTTACAAAGGAATAGAGCCAAACATCCATGCCCCAAATGTGAGCCCAAATAAACCTTTCCTCGTCATACTTTTGTTGCAGAAAACTAAAACTGACTCATGCACTTAGAAACATCCAGGAAACCTTCAGGAACACATGGGAGTGGCAAGTAAAGCAGTTAAATTCTGCCCCCTTGGTATGCTATCTCTCTCTTAAAAGCACAGGCACCTTAAGATAAATGTAAAAGGATGGTTCTTAGCATCAACCAGGCCCTGGAGTATGTACACCCATATCACTGGCTATACTAAATGCCAGGTACAGAAGGCAGTATTCTTTGTCAACACATGACAACAGATAATATACCATGTGGAAACATCGTGACAAAGAAAGAAACAGGACCAGATTTCCCCAGACTCCCAGTGTCCTTGAACACTCAGTTCCTCAGTGACTTTCCACCAATGGTCATCCTGGATCTCATCTCGACAACATTCATGAGGTAGGGAGATAAATAAACTGGTCTCAGAAGCAGTTTCTTTTCTTGTGTGACCTATAGAATAGGAGACTTGAGCTAAGATTTTTCTAAAATTTATGGACATGAGTTTGAAGGTACTGTAGTATACCCAATTGCTATATACAATAGAGTATAGTTTGGTCAGAGAGGGCACTTTTCTACATTAAACGGGTCATTTAGTTCTGTTGCTTTGGAACACTAACAAGTGATATCCTTGGACTTCTTGAGGAATTGCCACAATCCAGATGCTAAAAGCAAGTTCTGACTAAAGTGTATTTCATAAGTGATATATCAAATACAGAAAAAAATTCTCATGTAAAAACAACATGTCATCTGGTTTTCTTATGGTTTTTTAATTTATTAGGTGAAATTATATGGAAAATCTACAACAGATATACCTTTTCTATAAGTCTTTTTGTACTACTACTACTGAAAAAATATTATTTATTTATTAATTTTGCAGAAGACTATTGTCTTGTTTTGATAAAATTGACTCATGTGATCAGCCTGTGGGAGAAATGAAACGTTTTGGCTCATGGGTTCACAGGTTCAACCCATGGTTGTAGAAAGGAGTTGGAAGATAAGGAAAGCTCACATTGCAGCAAATAAGAGAGAGAAAAGCTGACATTTCCATATCTGGATCCTCAGCTTTTGGGGTGAGTGGTCCCAGAGATATGATGCCTAATCTCCATGTTCCCTTATGCAATAAAGATGATGATTAAAATGAACTACAGGACCTGTTACCTATGAAACAGCATCATAAGGAAGCAGAATTTTTGTGTGACATTCGTGGACATTGGTCATGAGTATCATGCAGACTTTGATTTGGGGCACCATGATGGGAAGAACACACCTTTCAAGGGTTATAGAGAATCCAGATTTGGCTCCTAAGTCACAGAAACAGCTGCTCGAAACTTAGCTTCTAACTCTCAATATGAAGAAACTGGCTTGGAAGTATTCTTACTAGGTTCCATCCTCATCAATTGTAGGTTATGGTTCCTGTACTCACCAAAGGCTTAGTCGTCTTCTTCTCTGTGATGACAGACAAAATTCCAGAGACAACAAACTGCCCAGAGAAGAGGAAGACATTATCAGCTCAGTTTGTATGTTTGGAATGGCTGCAGTGTTACTATCTAATGCTTATGAAAAACTCCATGGGAAAAGCCCTGATAACAAATGACCAGTGATTTAAGACGCATGCAGATGCATATCGCGGTAAATTAGGATCCAGGATAAACAAATAGGCCGAATAGATGTTTATTCAGGGAGAAATAACTTACAACCTAGACAGATGAACACCAGGAAATTCAACCCAATCCTCTCCTGTCCGAGTCACGCCAGAAAGAGAGCACCTTTCCTGGCCCCCTCCGACCTCCTTCCACAGGTCACTCCGCCCATGGCTCCACCCCCCAATGGGCGTGGTCAGTGCCACAGAACTATCTCACTACAGATGCATATATTTGCCCCTTTCCCTATGTGATAGCTAGAAAGTTTTGAGAAAAAAAACAGATATGAACATGAATCTATATCATTAAATTTAATTACTACCTTAAAAGATAGAAAATGAGTATTTTTAATGAGAAAAGAAAATTTGGGTGTCAGATAATTGAAGAAAATGCAAGATAACAGTCTAGAAAGAAAAAAATTACAAGGGATATCTGTTTTGGATTTGTGCCACCATTAATAAAGGGATATCATACTTGCTCAGTGGCATATATTAAACCACATTTACATCTCTGAGCAAATCCCACTTAACCATGCTGAGTAGTCTTTCCCACGTGCTGTCATCAAAATACTGTTCTAGTATTTTGATAAAGAATTTCGAAATTACATTCTCAGGAATTTCACTGTTACTTACATTTTCTTATAATATCTTTGTCTGGCTTTAATATATGAATAACACTAGCTCCCAAAATTGGTTCTGAAGTGTATCCTTCTCATTCTGATTTTTGTAGGAGTTTGAAAATGATTTAAACTAATTCCTTTAAAAAAAGGCAGGGGGTGCACAGATTTATTAACTACTGTGCAAGAGCAGAAAATCAAATTTTAACTAGTAAATTCAGAGAACAGGTGAATGAGAACAAAAGGCAGAATGGTTGGAAGGCATGGACTCTTAAACATTATTCAAAAAAGTCAAGCAAAACTATTTGCCAAGATTCAGTGGACATAGTGAAGTAAAATAATAGAATGTTTCTGAAAATGGATTTTTTTAAAATGTAAAAAACATCTGATGTTGAAGTTCTCCAGGATTTATTGACATGTCCATATATATAAGTGATTCTGTTCCTTAATTGTGTTGGGAGACTGAACCCAGGGCCTTGTGTGTACCACTCAAATGTTCTACTGCTGAGCTACTGCACCAGTTCTAAGTACATGTTTTTAATGCTAAGCTGAAGTCAATCAAAAGACTTCTCCTATGTGATGACAGGAGAGAGACCACAGAATGGAGAGGCAGAGAAGCTAAAGGATAATAAACAACACCATAACGTCCTGAAATGGGTTATTTGTACAGAGAGCTGATGTTGACAGTACATGTCTGTCCTGAGACCTGACAAAATGGTGCTGCAGTTCCGGCATCACTTAATCACTCTTCATCCTGGCTTCAAGTAGATCAGCAAACATTCCACAAGAGTCTTGGACAACCGCTATTAAAGTCATCATGTAAAGTCATCACAAAGGAGAACCTAAAGGGTCTGCATGAGGAAGTCAAGAGGACAGCTGGAGGTCCTCAAATGGGCAAAAGAAGGGTATTCTTGAACAACTGACGAAGTCATGTGTTGCCATGAGACGATTAAGCAGGAATTGTCTGTACCACAGAAGGAAGGGTGGAGGTGGGGGATGCATTGAAGAAAGAAATGTAGGAAAGGAAAAGCTGTTACTGAGTGGTGGTAAGCAGATGGGAAGCCACAGTGACAGGAAATCTCACTTGTGTTTGAGACTCACCCACGTCAAGCTAAAGGAGAGATGTCCTCTGAGAGAAGGACCTTCTTGTCCTCCTGACCCCAGGCATGGAACAGTCTTCAAGGAATCTCTACCCTATCACCCTGAATGCCTCCAACAAAGCCAAATGAAAACATTCCTTCTGCCCAGTGATCAGTCCATTGGGTGTCACTGCACTACATAGAAAGCTCTAGATCATGTGGATCTCACTTCCTGGGTGTTTTACTCAACCTATAGAGGTCACTAAATTCATCATAACTTAATAGGTGGGTTGAAAAGATGATATTCACAAGAAATGCTTATTTGAACTAGATGGAAAACATCTTCAGAATGGTGTGACCTCTGCCCTAATACTCTAGGACTTTCTGGGGATGACACTCAGAAAAACAAGATCTATCATCTACCCCTTTCTCACAGTAGCCAGAAAGTGAGCTAAGTGATATCTCCCTCCTCTGTTCTCCCACCTTGCTCCCTACAAAACTGTACTTACAAACAAGGATCCTACAAATGGGTAGCCAGATTTTAACAGGACAGAAAACACTGGGGTAAAGTGTGGGGTGTTAGGAGCAGATGCCAAAATGATGCCCAGACACAACACCATCACACCACACATGACCTGGATCGCCTGCCAAAAGAAGGGAGATGGGGAATTAAAACCAGCAATGACAAGAGGAACCTCTCCACCCCTCCCATGGTTATCATGTATTGTCACTATTAACACACAGGCACTGTAAAAGTTCTGGGGTGAAGTGTGAGGAAGTGCATTCTGGAGGGTACCTGGTTCTGCCACAGTCTCAGGCCACCTTCAGGTGTTTATGTTTATGAACCCCTGTCATGATCAAGACCCTTCCTAGCATCTCCTGGCTGAGTCTGAGGCATGAGTTCATGGTTAGCAAGTCTGTTCCCTTTTATGGGAACAGGAACCATCTGAGCCCCTCTTATCACCTATTGAGTCCAACTCAACACAACACAGAGCTAGGTGCTCTGTCCATCTCCCCCAGCCACTTTAGTCTGGATTTCCTTTCTCCCCCTTCATCTTAGAGTCTCACAGCTCTAGTTACATTTAGCACCTTTATTACCTATCTGTCACGTGATCCTCATAGGAACCCAAGAGACAGCTTGCTTGAGGCAAGGTCCCAGTTCCATCAAGTTCAGAGACTTGTTCTCATACAGGCTCTCCATGATCATCTTAGTGCTGAAACAGTACTGAAAACCACAACTCAATATTTTACCCACCCCAGTCCTAGGTGTATTCTTTCTCACTCCCTTGACCCAACAGAATTTAAAAAGTCATTGATGAGCACAGAAAAGGTATCATCTCTGCATTTCAAAGGAAATGATCAAGGAGGAGAAGGGCCTTCTTGTATCCCTGGAAGTGACAGCAAAGATTCCACTGAAAATCAGTATAGATTACTGAACAATTGATGAATATAGTGTGTGCATGTCTATGTCTACATATGTGTGTTTATAATATATACACATATGTATGTATGTCTACACACAAGGTAACTATTTACCATTATATTCACAAAGAAGATATTAGAAAGTACTCTGAGAAACAGAATACAAACCAATAAATTGAGAAAATATCAATTCATAGTCAAAATTAAGGTGCAAAATCTTCATTCTGTGGAAAGTCCTGGGGAAGATAGAAACTGCTTTCCAAGGGGCTTCCACTTATCTCAAGCTTCTCTGTAACACTCATTGCAAAAATCATGCTAGCAGTGGAACTCTGGTCTCAATATCAAGTATGTCACTGTCCTCTGCCCTCCAGCCACCCCAGACCCTTCTGAGTTGCACTTACCGCCATCACTTTGACCTCTGCTCTCAGATGTTTCTGCAGGCTGCCTTGCCTTTGGTGAACAGGCTGAGGGTTGTCTGTTTGGGGAAATTTTATCTCATTTGTTGAAATCACTGTGTCAGTCTCATTGGTCACTACTTGTGGGATCATGATGGCGTTTCCACGGCTGGAAGAGAAAATAGACATGGCTCTTACTAAGAACTGTGAACTCATCTTCCACTCTCTGATCTATAGGTGAGTATTTGTATATTCCAGGGGAAGAAACACTAACAATAGAGAAATGGAAAGCCCAAAACTTTGGAGTCAGGAAAATTCTTTTGTGTTTGACAAAGCCTGTCAGTAAACACATACATAAATGGACAGCAACAACCCCCGGAGTTCCCAGTGTGCATAGCCAAATATTTACACAAAAGTTAGAATGAAGCTCTCAAAATGGCTCAGTGTGTAGGTAAAGAAGTTGACTCCAAGGCTGAAACCTGAATAAAGAGAGGGTCATTACAATCTGACCCTGACCTGCATGTTTGCCTTGAAACATGGTTGTGTGTATGCATACACATGTATACACACAAGCAACTGCCAAAAAAAAAAAAAAAAACTTCCATCATGTAGCATTCTTCATTTCCTTGCTGCTATCATGTTTGAGTGCACTGCCTCTTATTTTTGCTGAGTTTAATCTTTGAGATATTCTACCAATGTTGAGATACAATTAATATTCAATCTTTAGTTTCCTCCACTTTATATTACATACTACTCAAACTTCTGAAAGCTCTTTGTTTATTTTTTATTTAATAGTAATATAGTTAGCATTCTCCCAATATATTTTATCCTATTTTAGAGCCCTCATAGTAACTTTCTTTGTTAGTAATGTCATAATCAGAAATGAATTTTAGGAGTAAAAGTTTAATTTACATGTGGAAATAGCACATGGTTTGTATAACACATGGTTCATTTTCTTGATTGTCATGCTCAGGTGACTCTGTTAGTCATGAATGTTTTCCAATGCTACATACCACTCAAGGTACTTAGCCCCTTTTGTCTATTAAAACTTCACATTTTAGTAGAAGTGATCTTGCAGTGTTTTTAATCCGTGAAACAATCCTATATGTTAGTTAATAAAATCATAATCAGTAAGAAAATCCAGAGTCAAAGTTTGATGGTCATGTAGAAGTAATTCACAACTTTATTCAGTGGCATAAAAATCAATGTTAGATAAATATTTAGAGTTTTTATTATGTTATCTATTATTATTTATTATAAACAAATTATTTACTATTATTATTGTATGATTATTAATCAGTTGCCTACACACAGTTGGGTGTTGGACCCCAACTGTCTCCCCCCCATTTCTGCCCCTGCCAATGACAGCATGTGTGTGGGTCTCTTCAGCATAAAGAAGCAGAAAATGCACTGGTATGAGAAGTCCTGGAGTCATAACCTAAGGTTCAAGTTAGAACTGTGTCCTTGTTAGTTGGACGAACCAAGTTGCCCATGGAATCAACTTCTGAGCTCAGCATGGCTCTCTTTTCTCTACACCATTCGCAGGCCTTAGGCTGCCAATCAGTGAATGACCTGAGAACCTTTGCAGAACAAGAGTTCTGCTCCCAGGGATCATGTGGCTTTAGGTCAGTGACCACCAAGATCACACAGCTAGAAACAGCAGGGTAGGAGGTAAGCCAGATGCCCCTTCCCTTTGCCCATGGTCTCTACCACTTTCACAAGTGTCAGAAATTTCCCCTAATGAAGAAAGAGAGGCCTCACAGCGGAAAGCTTCTTCAGGGTAGCCTACCTGCACCTGCCTGCTTGCCCTTCACTCCCTGCAGGACTCTCAGGAACCCCAAGAACTTTCTGCGTTCTCTCAGTCTGATCCTTGACTCCTACTTGCGAAGTTCTGACTGTCCCCAGCCCTTCTTCCTTCAGTATTCACTGCTGCATAGGAAATGATGGGTGCAGACTGTGGATAAGTGGATGTGCCTGCACTTCCTTTTTCATAGACTTCCAGGAACTTCGGGAAAATCACTAAGAACCAGTGTTGGGAGAGTGTGAGGGTTCCTTTCCCTTTCCATAAAATATCATCATACCTGCACTGACATTTTCATCACCAGACTTAATCTTACATCTCCCCTATTATGCTAGATCGAGGACTTTCATTCAGTGGCAGTGTCTATTGCTAATTCTGTTTGCATTAAGCTTGCATGTCTATAAGATGCCTATGAATTGAGTAAACCAATATGTTGTGACAATGACAAAGATGTGCCTCCAAGACAGTTTGCTTCTGCTAGTGACAGCATTACATCCAGTGGTCTCCAGCGTTCAAGAACAAAGGTTTGCACATGTTATGCTGACCTACAATGTACAAGTATCATAAAGCTAAGCAAAGTTCTTGGCTCTAGGGAAATCTCCAGGAATCCACAAGGATGACCCCAACTAACAATATAAGCAATAGTGGAGTGGCTACCATAAATGCCCTTCTCCGATTCAGAGGGACTCAGTTTGGCTCCCAGAACTCATTTCAGAAGCACAGTACTGCCTGTAATTCTAGTCGCAGGACATCTGACATTTTCTTCTGGTCTTCTTGAGTACCAGAAGTGCCCTCATGCACATGACACATACAGACACACAAAAAAATTCAAAGCAATAAAAAAAAAACACAGTGGTGTTCACTGCCGTCATTTCTCATAACGACGCAAAGAGTAAACAAAATGAATGAGAAATTTTAAGGAGACAGATAAATACTAGCTCCTACTATAGAAATGTCAGCAAATAATGCAAAATCCAAGTTTAATATTAGAAAGGAAAAGTACCTGGATAATACATCAGAGCCCCTGGCAAGTGTTAAGGTAATTTATTTTTAAAAGTATGTCAGATAAAGTAAGCTCCAAGAAGACATTGCATTCTGAGACTGAACTGTGAGTTCCAGTCCTGCTCCAGGTGAATAAACAGGATGTGGGATCTAGGGCCAAGTAAAAAGCAGGAAAGAGCCTGGAGTAACTTCACTCTGAGTGGTTGGGGGTTTTATGTGGTACTTAGTAAATCCTTTCTATTGGAGACATTTAATCAATCCTCCCTCTTTCACTCCTATCCCATACAAGTCCCCCAGCATATCACTTTCATCTCTTCATTCTCTCAATATTCCTTTGTGATGTTTACTCCAGTAAACTTATCCTTCTGAATAAATAGTAGCAATCTATTCTGCATGCTGTAGTTGCATGTCCTTTTGGCCTCTTTTCCTTAAATTTAATAAGCTCGTGTTTCATAACAAAGTTTATTCCAGTACTCACTCAGAAATACAGATCTTTCTATTGTAAACAAGACCATCAATCATCTTTACTTTTTCCCCTTGAGAGAGTCTTCCTTCCTTGTAGATTTGTGTTTTCCTTTTCCAGTAAACACTAGCTCCACCCTAGGCCTGCTGGCACGATAATCCACTATTCCTAGTGAACACAGTTCATAGTTAGACATTTAGATACAGCATAATTCTCCCATACATAGACATATTCAAATGAAGACAGTTTGGGGGACATAGTTTTGCATATACAAAGATAATCCATTTCTTTTTCAGGCCTCCAATCATCTAGTCAGTTTTATATTCTCAATTGGTTTCAAACTTGTTTATTATTTGGCTATCTGAAGATGGGTAGAATAACTTATGTAAGTTTTTTTTTTAATTTTTTTAAATTTATTTTATATAACAAAGTCCACTTAAATGAAAACAAACATTTATAGACAATATTTGGGAATGTGGGCGTTGTTCTTTCCAAACTACTTCCTGCTGGTAAGGGGCGCTGTCATGGGGGATTCGAAGAAGATTCAGAAATCCTGGCTGTAGTCTCTAAGGCTACTTTGTCCAGCTGTTTTGAATGTAGGATCACCTCCTACTCTGTTTCAGGCAGTCTGGCTTGATCAAACCCCATTAGCCTGGAAGGAATCCACATCTTTTCATTTTCTGTGGAAACAAAAATAGAAATCCTTTTCCCCAGTAACTTGTCCTTGAACTTAAATTTTGGAGTCAAAGCATTTTTTTTTAATTTAATTTATTATTTTACATGTCGATCCCAGTTCCCTCTCCCTCCCTCCCTCCCTACTTCACTCCCTCCCTCCTTCCCTCCCTTTTACTCTCTCTGCCCTCTCACATGCACTCTAAACACCCTCCCCTCCCATCCCCCCCACCCCAATTCCATATGTAGGGGAATGCCATCAAGGTGGGGTCATGTAACTCTGACAGGTCATTTGAAGTAGGGACTGGGGCTTCTCTCCTGTCTCTAGATTAAGGCAGTTATAAAGTAGGGACTGGGGCTTCTCTCCTGTCTCTAGATTAAGGCAGTTATCCCTCCATGGGGGATGTGTTCACAAAGTCCTTTTGTGCACCAGGAATACATCCTGGCTAAGGGACCTGTCTGAGGTCCCTTAGACTGCTCAGTCCTTCTGGCTGAGACCCATATTCAGGGGGGCCTGAGTCAGTCCCATGCTGGCTTTCCAGCTATCAGTCTAGTGGCTGATAGCTCCTCCTTGTTCAGGTAAGCTGTCTGTATGTGTTTCTGCTGCCTGGTCTTGTCCTCTCCATCTGCATCTGGGTTCTAGTTCGACTCAGTGTTTATGTATGGGTGTTTGATCCTGTTTCCAACAGGCATTAGTTGAGGGCTCCATGGAGAAGTTAGTTGTTGATCTCACTCTCCGGGAAGGGCATTTATGATAGCCTTTCCACGGAAGCTCAAATTGTTAGTTGGGAGCAGTCTTGTAGTTCTCTAGACCTTTCTTTGTGTTCAATATTGGCTCCCTCTTTTATGTTCTCTCTCTCTCTCTCTCTCTCTCTCTCTCTCTCTCTCTCTCTCTCTCTCTCTCTCTCTCTCCCTCCCTCCCTCCCTCTCTCTCTTTCTTGTCTTCTATTCCTAACCAGGCTCAATCTTCCTGGTCGCACATGTTTTCCTTTTCTCCCCCTCATTTTCTCCTACTTCTCTCTCCATTCGCTGCCCCTGAGCTCTGGGGGACTTGTCCCTGCCCAGTTCTGTGAGGGACTTTATATGAATCTCTTAGAATACACCTTGTATCCTAGTTCCTCTGGTGGTGTGAATTATAGACTGGTGATCCTTTGATCTAGGTCTAAAATCCGTATATGAGTGAGTACATACTGTGTTCCTCTTTTTGTGACTGGG